TCCTCGCATTCTCTCAAAAGGATCGATCGATCGATCGATCGATCGATATTCGAAGAATCTCTTTCGATTCGAATCCTCGAGAAAGTCGAGTGGTTTCCAGCCGACATTTCCCTTTCCCCCCTCCTCCCTCGATCGGTTTTGCACCGATTTGTTCATCCATCGCGCGTTTCTTTCGCGCGATATAGGAAGGGAGAACACGATCGAGGCGTCGTTTTCGTAGTCTCCCGGTATAACAGAAGAAGGCGCCGATTTAAATACGACAGCCGTAGGCGAGACACGGCAGGGTAACTTTCTCTCACTCTTCAGGGTATGCATCGAATAACGATTATTACGCGTGACTCGTCGAAACCAAAAACGATCTTTGGCCAGCAGCAGCAGCAGCAGCAGCCACGATCTCAATTCGCCGGGCGTTTATACTTTGCCCCCTTTTGCGTTCCTTTTCCTTTTTTCCTTTTTTTCTTCTTTCCCCTCCCTCCTTCTTATTCGTCCCTCCTCTTCTTTTACGCGACTTCTTTCCCGTCGCAAGGCGTGTTACACGCGACCGTTCCCTTTTTCAATCAGAACGGTGTTAAAATTCATTTAAGTTTAATCAAACCACGTTGCGAAACAACTTGCAAGAAAACGATACCGTGTAACCTTTTAAAACATCATGTGTAATTTTCTCTTTTCGTGTTATTATGCTTATACACGTATATATATGTATATGTTTGATAAACTTCTTGATTCACTTTTGGTGAAAGATTATATAGGAAATTTTAAAAGAAATTTTTATTACTTTTCGTATATTCGATGCAATTTTTTTTTAAACTCGAAGAGAAATTAATTTTAATCGAGGCTTCAATTAATCTGATTACGCGAAACTCCTACGTGCTCTTTTATTATCGTCGTTCCACTCTCGATCGAGGCACAAATATGTATGAATTCTCTTTTCAAAAACGTGGGATGAAAACAATTTTTTTTTTTATTCCTGAATCCACGATAAAAAAGAATAAGTGAGATTGATACTCTTAAATATTACCATCTCAAAGATCTTTCTCTTTAAAACCAGGCAAATTTCAAAGGTATACATATATATTTTTTTCTCTTACAAATCCTCATTACATTAATCCGAGAAAATGGCCCCAAATACAAATCTTTGTAAATTTACGCTCGACATATCGAAAAAGCGTCGAACCCAGAAAAAACTTCTCTTCGCACGAGTTGAGAACGAAAGCGGCGATGTAAATGAAAAACGATGTTTCCCCTGTCGGGATCTCGATTCGGGTCAGCCAGTCGGCGACGGGGTACCGATATTTACGAGGACGCGTTGCACCCAGGAGCAAGTGAGCGCGATGGAGAACGGAAACACCGCCGGGGGGACAGGTGGCCCCCAGTGCGGACATCGTTTTCTGCTCTCTCGGCTCGTGAACGGGCTTTAATCGCGGCCGTTCTCGCTCCGTTCCTCGGCTACATCGTATATTTTATCGCTGTCTCGTTGGCACTGTTCGAGCAGAGAGGCTCGAAAGAAGAGGAAGAGAGCGTCGGTCCGTGGGCAGAGAGGAGGCTGAACGGATTTAACGAGCCTTTACGATCGTCCAACGGGGAGAATCAATCGTGAATCGGGCCCAAATATCACGGATATATATACGTTTCGTCCATTCGTGGAGGATCCTCTTTCTGTCGTTCTAATTTAGTGGGCTACCTTAGATATTGAATGAGAAAGGGATACAAAGGGTTAGGGACTTTTAACTTGATTTATGAGTCTGTTGAGTTTTTTCTGTTCTCGTTATTGTTATTTATTGAGCAGGTGGTAATTGACGAGACTTGAAAAGAGTTCTGGAGAAAATGATCGATGCTGTTAAATAAATATGTGATTAGGTTTAGAATTTTTCTACTCAACGACAGAGTCTTAAGAGGAGAATGGAGAATCGATCGAACAGTTGGCACGAAAGTTTCGTTATTTTTCATTTTCATCGAATCCACCTTCCCCGTGTAACTGAACGTGAAACGTTTCTCTTGATTCGAAACGTTCTCTTAAAGTGTGACTACTCTCGACACGCAGAGTTCGCCAAGAGGGTGAGGAATGCGGAACCATCGATATCAACACGCGTCGATAACCATAACGATTACACTACTCGTACGAACGTGAACGAGTCGAACGGCACATCGTAACAGAGGGGAAAACGTGGTTAAGAATCTGCCGTGATCAAAGATCGATCCCCTACTTCGTGCACCGCACGAAGACACGTGTTTGCGCACATCGACGCATAACAACGATCAATAACAAGTTTGAGATTGTGCGCACGGTTCCACCTTCTCGATAAGGGGGTCATTTTCCGCGAAAATTCGTTCGCGGAATAATCGGGGAGAAAGTGGGAAGATTAGGCGGTGCCCTATCAACCTCTGTAACCCTCTCCTCGAAAACGAAAACGCGAGGCGCGGAAAAGAAGCGGAGAGTTGGCGAGCGACTCTCCCACTCGCCGATCGAGCCTTTTGATGTTTCGAAGAACCGTTCACGGTCTGGGAAACGTGGGAATAATAGATGCCGGATTTACACGGTTCAAGGCGCACCGAGTGTTCTCTCCACCTGAGCGTTGCTAGTTCTCACCTTGTTAGATCGAGCGTGGAAGAGAAAAGAGGGGGAAAAAAAGCGCGGCGAGCCGAGGAAGACCATTAAATTACAATACAAAATGCCAGCGAGTGAAACGTGTCTGGATCGTGACTATCTCTGTCGAACGGAAAAAACGGCTTAATATATCCGAGGCCCGAGCGCCACGATCGCTCGAGTTTCTTCATGGCCAGCGACAAAAACTGCTGTTCGCGCTTAAGTTCGCGGCGGGAAGGGAAGAATGGGATGAAGTCTCTTGTCGTCGATGGAATAACCACATATTCGCGTTCGAGATACGGTGAAACGCTCGTTCGTACGAAGTCTGGTTGGGGGACAGATAGGCTACAAAAATTCGTACCAGTCTATCTAATTTTTCGTCCAATCGATAGAGAATTTCGCGAAACGTTTTCTCTAAAATATACTAGTAATATATTTTTAACTCGAATACATGAGAATAAAATTATTTGCCAATCATCTCTATGCGACGTTGCATCGTAGATGTAATTCGACAATCCATCGAAATTTCCTTATTTCTTTTCACAAAACTACGGAGCGACGATTCTTAAGAAAATTAATGCTTGAACAATTCCAATTGATAAATTGATATATCATATAAATTTCGATCACGATTGGTAAATTGGATTCGAAGAAGGAAACGATTCTGGGAGATTTTATTTGTCGTGCCGTTTCACCTGTATCCCGGAGATACAGTCGGCGCAATTAACGAAACACTAGATCACCATTAATTAGATATATCCGTAGCCGTGGAAAAAGAAGAAGTTGCCCCGACGAGAGAGAGGAAAAAAAAAATTACATCTTATGGACGTTTCCTCGACCTTCGACTCCTTTAGCTGCTCCTCTCTTTCCGTCCATAAATCTCGGCTGGAACCGGCGATGCGAGGAAGATGGAAACTGGATACACACGCGGCGGAAACGCATGAGTCAGTGATGCCTCCGGAGAAAACGACATCACGCGAGTTCACGTGGAATATATCGAGGTGTCTCGCTTCCCCCCACGAATCTTTCTTCGTGTGGGTCTCTCTCTCTCTCTCTCTCTCTCTTTCTCTGGGTGCGTTGACCCAGCTTACGGTAACCCAGGCCGACTGTTGCACCTGCGTCGACATGGACTTACCGGGATAAAGGGTCGCGCGACCCGAATTACTTCCTTCTTTCATCATTCGTCGAGCCATTTCATTCGTGCAACCCAGCGAAATCCGCGCTTCGATCCGCTCGACGACGGATCGACGGTCGTGGTCGATCACGACGTCGTTTTTAAATAAAAAAGCCAAGTCCTGGTAGACAGTTGTGAAAACTGTTGTGTCTATTCTTAATTTTTTTCCTTTCCAATAGAGATTTTAATAGCCGATAAAAACTAGCTTTTCCTGTTTCCTATGATGTGATTCCGAAACGAGGAATAATTGTCAGAGGAATTGAACGAGGAATCTGTACGCTTTCTCGGAACATAGACAATTGTGGTATTTAATGGGTCGCATCCTCGCTCCAAGCCTTTCAATTACACAAAGCGATCGCAGCGGGCACCGCCCACGTCTTAACTGCCTCAACAGTGCACCGTGATCGTATTAATCTGCAATTTGCATAGCTCGATCCATTCAACGCGCCCTAGGTTCCTTCCTACTCCTCTCTACTCGAATACAACTTTCGACGAGGTTGGCTCCTCGTTCGTGAGGAGAACGAACTTCCACCATAAACGTAAACGTGATTCTCCTCGCGGAGAGGTGTTCATTACGTTGCTGTAAATTTAACGGCAAGATGACGTGCTACGAAACGAGATGCTGGAATCGATCAACACAGGCGCTCGTGAGGTGGGTCAGAAATAGAAGCGCCGCCAGGTTATATACGCGTGTACACACGCAGCAAGGATGAGGACGAAGGAGAGAGGGCACGCGAGGAGGTCTATCCTCTTGACCTCACTTTCTAGAATCCTTTAAGTATATGGCGCCACGACTCGTTTATCCATTATCGATCGACCAACAACCTTCCAGATACACGACTGTATCTCTACTAACCGAGATATCGCTGCCCTGTACAGATTATTCGTGAATCGTCAAACTCACGGATCTGTTTGTGATTGGAAACGAAGTTTCAATTTGCCGATCAGAGTCAGTTTATTCCTTTCTTTTCGTTATTTTTCAAGATCCGTCGTCTTTCAAATCGGAACATCTGAAATAAAATATCGATATTAAATCTTAGATCGAAATGATTTCATCGATATTAACTCAACAATCTTTAGTCAAAATACTATTAAAAAAAAAAAAAGAAACGACAAAATATTTTGATATAAAATCAATTCGCTTTTATAAAATGTTACGGAAAAATATTATTAGGGCTAATCCAGGAAGAAGATAAGAAATAATTTGCATATTATAATTCTAAACGAAGAAATCGTTTACAGATCTGGCCCAGATCCGAGCATTGGTGGAGTCGACGGGGATGCTAGGTGGCTCTACCTGTCCATCCTGCGAGATGCCATTCGACAAAGGGAAGAAACGTCGATTGATCGACTCGTGCGGCCACGAGCGCTGCTATTCCTGCCTGTTCCGCAGCGAGGCTTGCCCGCTTTGCCTGCGCGCCGATTTCAACGACGACGACGGCCTGGAGGGACCCTTCAGGGAGGGGTTCATCGGCTCCTCGGGGCCCATGTCCATCCTCGCGCCCACGGATGGCTGGATCGATGAGTCATCAACGGTGAACTCTCTCTGCGGCAGCCCCAGACCGCGTACGAAAGTCACCACGAGAGCCAATCTTCCTTCGAGAGTCATGCACGTAAGGCAATATCATAGTCATCAACTCGGAGGCCTCGAGTAACACTTTCTCGCGCGGATCCTCGACTCCTTCGCCATTTCTGGAATGCCTAGGTCGTCTGATGACTATTGTTCACGTTGTCCCCTTATCCATTTGATTGGATTCGCGCAAATTCTAAAGAGAAACGATTAGAACGTCTCTAGAAAGTGTATTTAATCGACACGTTTTCCGTTAACTTTTTAATTTTAAATCTATCGTATCGAGGAGAAGTATTTAGAAAGGATAGCGATTAGAATTCTATCGCGGTCGCTTCGTTTAATTAAACTTCGGATTATTTATGATTCTTCTTCTTCTTCTTCTTCTCTTCAGCAACGCGAGACCGATGAAAGTGTTTCTTCCTCGGCGATGGCTAAAGGATTGAAGAACAAACCACCGGCACTTCCGGAGTCCTCTCAGGGGAAGCAGAAGCTTCAGATGATGACTCAGAGTATGTAAAATTATCGTTCGATTGTAAATTTTTAATATGATATTGGATAATGTCAAAAAAATTCCATTGTTGTTGATTAATCGACAAGATCGATAAAATGTGATATAAAATTGAATTTACAGGTTGTCCAACCCCACCGAATCAAAGGAAGAGGTTTTTCCTGAATCCAAAGGTGCTCAGGAGTTCATTCGTTCCTCAAAGATCGTCCAGACGGGGAGCATCGTCTCCCGAACCAGTCGTAAACGACAATCCTTCCGCCTTGTCAGGTAATCAAGTTTAATTTGAAATTATTTTTCCTCGACCTTTGATGTTAAAGATCAACCGAGTAACAAAGTAGGGAAGCATATATTAGCTGTAATTAATTATTAATCGTGAACCAACACGCGTGTAGCTTGGATGGCCTCGTCTTGGGAGGGGAAGTCTCGATGGCCGGGTGTAGTGCTGGGGAAAATCAAATCGTTGTGGAGCAACAGTCAAGGGACGGCGAACGATGGGCTGAACCAGCTCATCGACTCGAGGAACAAAGTCACAGGCAGGAAGAACACTTTAGAAATCGAGTGTTGTGCATCTTCTCGTGTGTTTTAAAATCGATAAAACATGTACAGGTTGCTCGAATTACTACGCACTACTCTCGTTTCTCTATCGTAAAATAATCTTGTTTCGATCACCCTTTTCACACATCACACAGTAGAGCACTAGCAGAGTTTGAAGCATGCCTCCATCATCGACACTCACCGTGTGCCGTGTTTGTAGCACGAATTTACTTTTTTCAGCCGGAAGTACTTGTACCACGATATCTTCGTGTAAGGATTTTTAAATAGAATTCGACGAGTATCTAGTGGATCTTCTGCATCTTGAAAATATATCCGTTTTTCCGTGTGATTTTTTTTTTTTATCTTATGCATCGTTCGTTTCTTCATTCAATCCTCGATCACTCTGTCTAAATATAAATATTTCTTTTCTCCCCAGACGACGAAGGAGGTTGCGTCAAGCCATTGTCCTCCAAGACGAGGAAATCGTCCCAATCGGATCTCCACATGAGGCTAGGCCTTCTCCTAGGCACGAATCACACTCGAGCGAGCAGCAGCGTGGACACGACGGATCTGCCTGGTGCCTCGAATCGTTCCAGCGCGGGTGCATGCCAATCCAGAGTCCCTATCCAAGGCCATGACAGTTCTGCAGCCTCGTTCAGCAGTTTAACCAGCTTCGAAACGCAAACGTTGGCCTCCACGAACACCAGTCCGGTGTCTACGTTGACTGGAACGTCGAGTGAAGCGGAAGCAGCCGCAGCTTTGAGGTGTCCTATCAAACCTAAGACGAAAGTAAAAGGAAAGAGCAAGTCCAGAGATTGCGACAGTGCTGGAAGCTTGGCCTCCATCTCAACCTCGGTGTCCGCGTCCACTTCTATGTCGATGTCGATGTCCGTTTCCGTTTCGGGCCTGTCGAACGGCAGCTCGAGCCCGCTCACTCCTAGAAGACATTCCGTGAACGCCTCGCAACCTGGCCAAAGCGACGAGCTTGGCCAGTTCAAAAACAGACGGTCTTGCGCCAGGAGATCAGCCAGAACTGGAAACGTCAAGGGTGTTGTCGACACGAAATGTAAGTTCTTTTCTAGGAACCGTAGAACATATGTGAATGACGAGGCTATCTCATGTAAATCATTCTTCTTTCAGTACGTTTCATACAGCATCACGGTACGCAGCTGACCCTGAAACCTCTGTTCTTCGAAGTACCTTTATTGGAAGCCGATCCATTGTTCACCGGTCGCCAATGGCTGCTCCAAGAACTGGAATCGGTTGTAAACGGGTCCAGCCCTGGAGTTTTGATCTCTGGGTGTCCTGGAACCGGGAAGACCGCGCTGGTTCTACAGCTGGTTGAACACAGTTGTTTTGGAAGAAGGCGGGAACAACCTCTTCCATCGGAAATCAACGAGGAGGCTGGAGAGAAAGAGAAAATAAGTTGCAGCTCGGCTTTGCATGCTAGTATTCGTTATACCAACGAGAAGGTAAATGTATTATTATGATATATTTCCTGTAGAATTTACTAATTGGTTAAAATTTTAATCCTCAGGTTCGAGAATTAGCTTCTCACGTTGTAGCATATCACTTCTGTCAAGCGGATAATAACAGTACTTGTTTGGTACCAGACTTGATCCACTCTTTAGCAGCTCAATTATGTCAAGCTCCTCAACTCATCTCCTACAGAGAATATCTGCTCTCGGAACCTCATATACAGGGTTCTCTATCGCAAAGAGAATGCACTGTCGATCCAGATCTTGCACTATCTAGAGGTATAATTGAACCCTTGTCTACATTGAAGAAAACAAATAGACTGCCTGACACCAATATGGTGAGTAAAAGAATCTTATTTATTTAAAATTTCCATCAAAGGTAGGATTTATAATTTTTTTAACAAAAAGAAAAAAGAAACTATATTCTCAATATGAAAAAAATATCATCTTTCAGGTGATTTTAATCGATGCTGTCTGCGAAGCAGAGTACCATAGACCAGATAGAGGCGACACAATAGCATCCTTTTTAACGAGGCATGCTCCAAACTTTCCTAGCTGGTTAAAAATTGTATGCACAGTCAGGACGCAATTGTTAGAATGCGCCAAACAACTACCTTATACCAGGGTCTCCTTAGACAGAGCCTCAAACGACAGCGCCGGAAGTAACGTGACAAGAGATCTCTCTGATTACATTGGATATAGATTAGCTCAGAGTCCTGCTATTCAAACAAACGTCACTGCATCGGTGAATGGCAAAGCGGAATCATCCTGCAGTGCGAATCAAACCAGATTCGCCTCGCATCTATTAGCTTTAGCTAGAGGTAGCTTTCTCTTCGCGAAATTGACGCTCGATCTTATCGAGAGCGGTCATCTGGTGGCTAAATCTGCCAGCTATAAGGTGAATAGAATCCGTTCATTTACAATGGAAAGAGAGTATACAAATTATACAGAAAAATTTGCTTAATCTCAAAATTCTAGTTCTTAAAAAAATTTGAAAACGTATTAGCAGAGAAATTTTTTAATCTAATATATTTGAAATTGGATGTTTCAGGTACTGCCAGTCTCCTTGGCGCAGATTTTCCAGTTGCACTTCAACCTCAGGTTCCCTACAGCAACATCGTTCGACAAGGTTCAACCTCTATTAGGCGTTTGCCTAGCTGCTCTGTATCCTCTAACTTTACCTGAGATCTTCTACTCGGTGAATTCTCTGAACACGGACCATTTCGTTTCATGGGAGGATTTTCTACAGAGATTCAAAGTAAGTTTTTTTAAAATAATCAATATATAGATAAATATCCAAAAAACAAATTATATAATTAATTTATCCACTCTTGTCTATGGCTACCTTCAAGTGGATTAAGTAAGTCTCAACTATATTCTTCTTTATGATAAAAAATATTCTCCGCAACGTTTCTATTTTCTCTTTTGCAACTACAAATCCGCCCATTTGTTGTACGACAACTTATCGTTCTCTCGTTGTCAGATGCTCTCTGGATTCCTCGTGAAACGTCTGGACAATACCTACATGTTCTTCCATCCATCGTTCAGGGAGTGGTTGATGAGAAGGGACGAGGGCGAATCGACCAAGTTTCTCTGCGACCTGAGGTTAGGTCACGCAGCCATCGCGTATAGGCTCTCCAGACTCCAGGCACCGTTAGATGGCGATAAAGCTTTAGAATTGGGTCACCATATACTGAAGGCGCACGTTTACAGAGGCGTTGCTCCGTGTTGGCCTTCGCGCGATCTACAGGTATATCACCTGTTCCTCATTTGCATTTGTAGGATAAATCCATTTGCGTTACAATAGTATTTCAATTACGAAACATTCTCTTGTTTATCAGGCCATTTGGTTAGCATCGTCCACGGAATGCGTCTCCTCCGCACTGTGCACACTGAGGAACATCTACAGCCCGAACGTGAAGGTTTCGAGGTTGCTTTTGCTGGCAGGAGCATCTCCGAATCACATCACGGAATATCTGGGCAATGCTCCAGCTCTTTGCATGTACGCTCACGAAGGTTCTGTCGAGATGGTATCGTTGTTATTGGAATTTGGAGCCGATGTCGAGTTGACGAACAGCCAGGGATGCACAGCGCTCTCGTTAGCGGCTGCTCGTGGCCATTGCGATGTTGTCAGAAGGTGAGTGAAGTGTGAATGGGATATATGATTGTTGGAATACAGGATGCTACAAAAATTGAAATAATATATTCAGTTTTTGCGATATCAAAGGAATGGTTAACAAATTTGGAAATATATTTATATTTTTAATTCAGACTAGCCGCTGCTGGAGCTTCGTTAGGTCACACGGACATGGCAGGACAGTGTCCCTTGGTTCACGCAGCTAGACACGGAAGATTGTCCGTGGTTGGTTACCTTTTGGCTTGCGATTGGGTAGTTCCAACCAACGTGAGTGAAATCGAAGGATCTCAAGAAATAGGTAGAGAAGAGGCTGCTCAGCAAGCTGTGGTCGCCGCAGCGGCTCAAGGTCACGAGTCTATCGTGGAATACTTATTAGACATGGCCGAAGTTATTGTAGATCGTCCTGATACTTTGATAGGCGAGACTGCCTTGACTATCGCTGCTGCAAACGGTTCCACGGCCACAGTTTCGGCATTGTTGGCTCGAGGAGCGAATCCAACAGCTGTGAACGCAAAAGGATTGTCTCCTTTGATGTTAGCTGCAAGAGAGGGACATTGGGGTACGGCCGAAAGATTACTGCAAGGTTAGTGTTAAGGATTATTACTAAACATAAGAATAAAAAGATTGGACGTGAAAATGTTCATTATTGTACGATAATATGACTGCAGGAACACTCTCGAGCAGTACCGATACCGTTCTGGACGATGCAGCATCTCTCCTAGATCAACGAGACCCAGCTGATCGTACTGCACTGATGCTAGCTGCCTCAGAAGGTCACACAAACTTGATCGAACTATTTTTAGACAAAGGATCCGTTCTAGAGAGTAGAGATAAAGAAGGAATGACCGCTCTCTGCTGGGCCTGCGTGAGAGGAAGACTAGCCGCCGTGCAGAACCTTATTGATCACGGGGCTGATGTTAATACTAACGATAATACAGGGAGAACTCCTCTAGATCTAGCTGCCTTCCAGGTAACATTCTTTAAAAAAATCCGTGCACTTATTATTTACACAAGATCAACGAAAAGTATATCTCACAATCTTGCGAACAATACAATTCCCAGGGCAATCCAAAGTTGGTGCAATTGTTGCTCGAGAAAGGAGCAGCGGTCGAGCACGTCGATCTCCACGGAATGCGACCTTTGGACAGAGCGATCGGATGTCGAAATATACCCGTGGTGCAGTGTTTCCTACGCCGTGGGGCGAAATTGGGCCCGGCAACCTGGGCGATGGCCGCTGGAAAACCAGACGTTCTCCTGATCTTATTGAACAAACTCCTCGAAGATGGGAACGTCCTCTACAGAAAGAACAGGCTGAAAGAGGCGTCGCATAGGTACGCGTATGCGCTACGAAAGTTCCCTGCGTCGCCGGAAGAGGATTGCCAGGGGCAAGAGCAGGGTCACATGATGCTGCAACTCCAGACGTTTGCGCAACTTCGACTGAATTTCTTGCTCAACCTCAGTCGATGCAAGCGCAAGATGAATGTGAGTGGTTGTTTATTGAATGAACTACTATAAGTTTCCTAATACCTTCATTCATATCACAGCTATCTATAGATATATCGTGTTATGTAATTCTATTTTCTTGTTCTTGTATGAAATAGTTTTCGAATAGGAAATATTTTGAAACTTTAAATTTATTTTAAAATTAAATTTTAATTTCGATATTTTTATAATTTTTGTTTAATTTTCGTTGTTTTTTTTTTTTTTTTTTTTTCATTATTATTTATGCAGGAATGTGCGGAAGCAATCGAGCTCGCTGACGAAGCTCTAAAAGTTCGTCCAGTATCGTACGAAGCATTTTACGCGAGGGCGAAAGCACGAGTTGATTCAGACTTCCTGGAGGACGCATTATCCGACGTCCAAGAGGCATTGCAGATCGCACCACCGCAAAATCGACAGGATCGGCGCGTTCTCGTTACTCTGAAGGAAGAAATAGTTTCCAGATTGGATGGAGTAGGGACCAGCAAAGGATCGGTTGACTCTACCAGCAGATCTCGCCTTCGAGCGTCAGTCGACACTCTCACAGAATTGTAAAATTATCTATTTTTTTGTCTTTCAAAAGACTTTTGATTGCCCACGTTTAAGATATCGTCCTTTCTTTCACAAAGGGAATGATTATATGCAAGCTCTGAAACAGTTCTTGCATGCGTATATTTAATTTATAAGTTGATTTTTCTTGAACTGAACTCGCGATTCCTCGAAGATTTCTTTTAAAAAGATAATATGGCTTAGGATTTGCTTTCAAAAAATATTTGGAGGCAATTCGAAACATTCAATCAAATTCGAATGAAGTATTTTGTTTATTTCCTTTTTTTTTTTTTTTTTTTTTTTTTATTTTGTTAATTTAACGACTCATTGCGTACGTTGTACGTACTTGAAGAAATATTCCTTCTCCATTGCGTTGCTTGATTCATTTTTGATAATCAGCAAGGATTTATATATGTTTTTATTCTTTTCTTTTCTGTGCAATTGTATTGCATGACCGTGTTAGGATTTTGTACTATGTCCAATTCGATTCTAAATCGAATACAGAGTTTAATATATATATACGTTTTTCTATATATATATATATACACATATTATATATATATAGTAAATATATATATAAGTATTTATATTATATTACGCGTAAAAAAAAAAAAATTGATTTTTTAGTGTCGTTGTAATTTAAATGAAAGTTATTTAATTGTTTCTTCCTCTCTGTTTCTTTCAGTATTTTCTCTCTTTTTTTTTTTTTTTAAATATATCGCCACAAAGAAAAAAAAATGCAATTTAATAAAAGAGAATTTTGATATTGATATGATTCCAGCGTTAAATTGTCACAGCCTGTAGATTAAACATGGCTGCCATTTTTCCACGCGTGCGAAACGCAACACGATCTCGCTGAACGTATTTATAATGCACTCGCTTGCCAAGCATTTAATACACTTTTAATTCCTCTGTAACCCGTCACGATCGTTTCCGAATTTTTATGTTAATACAAGCGCTGCAAAGTTGTATGGACTTCGATTACGACTACAATGTTATTTTGTCTCTGCCTTGGAGCACAGAGGTAACGAAATAAACGAACTTTTTATCGAAAAAGAAAAAAAAAAAGATTCTCTTTCAAACAATTTTAAAATAATTTTAAGAAAATGTGATGGGATAATTGGATAAATTTTATTTCAACTCGCCTTTATTGTTTCGAATGATCGAACGAACCTCCTGAAATCAGAAGAGTATCGATCGAGGTACGTTGTCCCTTAAATAAGTGTACATCGATTAGAAAGAACTCGTAAAGTGCGTTACGATGATGGCACTTTTGCGAAAGCGAGATAATTTTCGAGGTGAGAACAAAAAGAAAAGAAAAAAGGCGATAAAATGTTTGGTAACAAATATAAATATATATGAATACTAGTAACGGAGAATTGCCTTTTCTTAATCTACTTTTTTGAAGACACGGAATAAATAATAATTATTTTTGAAAATAGATCTTGAAAAATAGATTCTGTCGCTTTCACAATCGTGTCGCCAATTGAAAACGGTGAGTTTCGCATTTCACTTAAATATCTTCAAGAATTAGTACCAAGAATTACGGATTTTGGTCTCGAGTTCGCCACCGTTGCACGCTGGGCGACCAACTTTTAAGTACACTTTAATTCGATTAATATAATGTATACGTAAATACATCTTCGTATAGAATAACCATAAATATCTCGAAATTTGCATCAATTTCATCGTATACTACGACATTTGTAGACATTTTACGTATCTGAGGATATTATTAGCTTTGAAAATTCCTCGAAGAGAAAAGCATATATCAGAGTACAGATATCTTTGAGAACAATACTCTCGAAAGTTCCTTATTTTTCGCTAATAGACACTAAGAGTGGAAATTACGGATAATCGAATAATCTCTCTTATCACGGTGTTTAAAATACTCTCTTCAATTTCATTTTTCGAGAATATTTTCCACAAGCATTAAGAAAATTATTGTTTGTCAATCCATTAGTGTCCATTAATGTCTACATAAATAACTTTCGAAAATAACTCTCGAGAATCTTACACTCAAACACATTCGTATCTTTACACGCATATTAAGTAGAAGAAATTAGAATCGTCTGCTTTGCAGCTTCGACTTCATCGTTTTCATGAAACAATAATCAATTCTTAAGTCAAGACTTTACATTTATGATCATTTTGATATACATATGTCGAGATGTATGATCGAGAACAGCGTATAAAAAAAATTTGAAGTTCGAATAGCATCACATTTAGATTTTCGATTCAACACGCGATTTGCGTTCGAAAGACAAAGAAAATCGAGCGATATTTGTACTTGCGCTTCTGTCGAAATGATTGTGCAATACGAAGAGAAAAGAAATTGTCTTTCGATCAAAATCACACGAGTTCAACATTCTATATTCTATAATGAACAATTGAACGAAATTATTATGAGATTGCATGATCTTATTTCTTTAATCATCAAATGATCCCAGTTTAATGATCAATTCGAATGAGATTGATTTAAAAATTTTCTACTCTTGTGATCCATCAATAACTGTATATAGAGTATTCAAAAGTAGAAAGAAAATTTAAAGAATGAAAACCACAAAAAAAACTATAATATTTGATATACAAAAATGTTGGTATGACGAATGTAATAAATAAGTTTCTATCCTCATTTTTCTATATTCACTTTCGTGTTTATCTCAGTCTCTTTAAATTCTACAGACTATTAACTGACAAATAATTAAATACACACACACGTATATATATATATATCTCGTAGAAACTGGAATCACATCTGGGATCAATTGTTCGTGAGAAAAGCGAGGAAGCTCTCTGATCGATGAGCTCGCGTGGAACGAAGTACAAAGCAAACGAAACACGGTGATCTACAAAGTGTCGGAAATCGAAACAGAGTGAAATACGATAATTACAGCTTGCATTCGGATTAGTATAACAAATGTATCTCCCTCTTGTTAAAGGAAAAGCCCCACTCCCAGATGTTCCATGGGTAAAAACGCATTGTCGAAATCTACAGCAGCAATTGTCCAAGAAAGACCGAGTACCGAGTCCACGAACCGCGTTCCAAATCCATCACCATCTTCCTCGAATCGCTTTTCCTCGTCGCGAAGAATCAACGCTGAAACGGAAAACTCGCTTCGAGATTCTCTTTACCGACAATCGGTACTATCGAGGTTATCTTGCAACGCGTTCGCCGATCATCGATTTCTCTGCATCGATCGTCGACGGCACCGTTCAACGGGCCTGCGAATCTTGCGGAAGAACCTTGTGCAGATCGAGGAACGCGAGGATAACGAAGACGAGGCAAGAACGCGACGACGTTTCGTGTAAAGTGCGTGGACGGGACAACAGAGTGTCGAAGACATCACAGAAGCGCGCGAATCTGAAGCTAGTGGGCCTTGTAGGTGTCTTTGTTTTGGTAGCCCTGCACGTAGCCGGATTGGTCGGGTATATCCTTTCGGCCGGCGATACCTTTCCCCTTTCCGCTCTCGTCGAATCGTTGCTTGTGCGATCCTGTGTACTTGCTCACGTCCGTGAGTCTGTCCACCGTGGAGGCCGCTTTTCCTGTCTAAAAATTAAATAATAAAGGTAATGAACAGGTAAATATGATTAATTTATATGATTGTTCCATTATTGAAAGAAAAAGAATTTCATCCTATTCTATACTTGATAATGGGAATACTGTTACTTTTGTTTCATCCTGTAGTAAAATCTAGATAGATATTCGTATGATATAAATTTGAAGGATATATAAGATGGATTGAGAAAAAAAAAAGAGAGAAAGAATTTTAAATTCCAAATAATAGGAAAATTATAAATTTATGCATTCAATATTTGTAAAATGACATGTTTTAGATTTTAATTTGTATTTCTTAGAATGTTTTAACAGTTTTTTGCGAGATGCACTTAGCATAGTTGAAAAACATTGACCTAATTAAGACGAAGGACGCACATACGTAGGCGAGAATTTAAAATTCATCGTTAGAAACGATATATCCACAGGTCAGGTCTGGCGACGTCATAAATCTTTAGTGTCGATAACGTGACACGCAAGGACACGATATTCGATATACAAGCTATTTCTACTTTGGTTAGACTTATGAAATCGTGATAGAAACTTGTTGTCATCGATCACGTGTGGTATAAACTCTGAACCTGACCCTGTCCCCTGTCTTTGCTTTGTCAATAAACATTGGAATCGACGATAAACTTTCGGATTAATATTTCAATTTACAATACTTACTCCACCAGCACCGGCTGAGACTCCAGGTGGTCCACAATTCGCCATTTTCTTCTTCATCTCCGCTGGATCGACCTTTTTACTTTTGGCCAGCTCGTCCAAGAACGATTTGTATTGTTCGATACCTAATTTCATGGATCTAGAAACAAAATCGATACCATTTTATTTTTAATACTAATAACAAATCAGTCGTGCACAGCCATTTTTAATTTCGCTGATTGACGCTTAATATTTTACAATTATTATTATTTTTTTTACACAAATTGTCAAAAATATCTATCAATATGAACTCTATTTAATTTTTAAAATATCGCATTGAACGTGTTAAATGTAAAAAAAAATTCTCGTACTTGTGTTTCTTGAAGTAAATCCCAGTATCGGTGGTGGTGATCTTCCTTCCATCGATCACCTTCGCCTGTTTCATCCATTTGTCGCTCTGACTCAGAGTGATCAATTTCCCATCGCTTTTCGGATCGCCGAATTTCGAAAAAGCCTTGAAACTTTGCAAAAAGCTGCCAGACTGCGCGGCGCTTGGACTGCTAGGCGTCAATCTTCCTGTCTCGTTTTCTTCGATTTTCAAATTCGCCACGCATTCGGTCGCCTCCTTGGTGGCACCGTTCGTTTCCGCTTTGTCCTCCCCTTTCTTCTCCCCTTCCGCGCTACTTTTCTCCGTCTCGGCTTCTTCGTTCTTCTCTACCTTTGCGTCGTTTTTCTCAGTTTCGTTATCTGCCTTCTCGGCTTGCATGCTTGCGCCTGCAATATCACGCAAGATAGAGAAATTTCGTTTCCCGACGTGCGAACAAGTTGAAAAAGACATCGCATGATGCAAAAATGGATTCTATCCAAGTGGGTCAAGTTTGTGCTTGTAAAAAAAAAAAAAAAAAGAAGCAAAGTATCTTTTATGTATCTGGATTTCACGCTATTATACGTATCCAGGTAGACACGTCGACGACGCGACGTTTTGAGGTCAAGCAACGCGAGCTATCGATTTAGCATAATTCGAGTAGGCGGCCTTCACAAATTGACATTTAAATGATAATTAGCGATCGAATAATATTTTTTCGTGTTATTAAATCGATGCAGATTACATGTCATTACGCAAATTAATGTGGAATAAAATCCGTCCTATTTTGGTTAATAAGTTTTACGAGAATTAATTAATAACGAAGAGTTTCGTATCTTGGAATACGAAATCTTTTGCCTATCTCGAGTAGCAGATAATATTTTTTTTTCAATTAAGCTAATCGATAGCTGAACGATGAAATAGGACAGAATCGGCTATTGGAAATAGTTTGGAACCTCTTCTGTATCGGTCTCTTTGCTACGTGGACGGTATTGTGCCTCCTCGTGGCATTATTGTTTGAATAAAGGATTCTAAGATACAATAGAACGAATATATACCTTTTATTTGAGTTTCTACGTTTCAAGAAAGAGTACAGTCTATATTTCTTATAGCTAACAAGCTTTGCTGTTGAAATAATAAAAATCAAGCTCGTCTAAGTCTTTGAAAAATTATATCTTTCGATACCTCGTTTCATTGCTGCATCGAAATTTCACCATAAATCTATTTTATATTATAAATATCATACATTTATATATTATATCCGTAATTTATGATAAAAATCGATAATAGAAATGATTAATACACATATCACGAAGAATTGAACGATTTTCCGTTCGACGAAAAAAAAAAAAAAAGGTAAGAAAAGAGAACATTCAAATGCCTCTTTGAATCTATAACGTGTATGTAGAAGGCAATA